TTTCTCAACCTAAAGAGTAATGTCCACAAAATTTGCGTTATATTTGTATTTTGACAACAAATATACAAAATACAAATAGATTCCTTAGGTTGTATGCAGTTTAATTATTAGAATTAGAATTCGTCTCTCTTATTCTCCTGCCTTAACACAAAGAAATGTGTATGTAATTAGTATTTTGATATATATTGGTCAAACAATATCACTCAAGATTAAAATAATTATTTTACTGTGAATTTAAAAAAATGTGTTTGTGTGTGTGTGTTGTGACGTCTATTTCTCTGAGAATTCTGTTGATTGCACATGCTTGAGGAATAGTCTTAATGGATTCTCCCCAAAACATGACAGGTCTTTTGCAAAATACTTATTATTATTATTTTGTTTTTTGAAACACAAAGGAGATTCATGTGATTATGACAAACGTTTCCATTTGGTGTGATGGGTGAAATACCACCAGAGGTTGTGTGTCAGTAGATGATTGCATTATATGTTTCACTGGCAAAACGTTTTAGATGGAATATACAATGTGATTTGCCTTTAAACCTCATACCCTCTGGAGATATTGGAAATAAATGGATAGCATAAGATAGTATTTTACAGAGGAGTAAGGTGAAGTAGATAACATATGTATATATATATGTATATATATAGTTATATTTACATATTTAGTTGTTTATATATCTATAAACAAAGATATCTAGCTATCTATATAGAGCTAGAGATATTTAGTGGTTTGTGATGGCCACTTTTCCTTCACCTAGGAATGCAAATGGAAATAGAATCAAACCGGGAGTCTTTTGCACTGCACATTTGGCTCAAATCTGCCACTTATTAGAAGTGTAATCTTCATCAAGTGACTTTACATTTCAGAACCTCATTTTCATTATCTATATGTGGCAATAATATATTTTCTGCCCTTAGTATTGTAAAGTGTTGCAAAAGTCAAAATAACACTGTCTGCCTAAGTGTTTGTCATTGTCAAATGCAAAGTACAGGTGGCTGTGGCCCTATACTCGCAACCCTGGAGTAACTCTAACTGTCACATCCATCTTTGATGTGGAGCATGTTTATTAGATCAAAGGCCTTGGGAGAGTTGTTCTAGACTAAGGGTGACTGTGGGTGGTGCTTCTAAGGGGAGGAATGCAAACTGTTCCTCCTTTCTTTCCAGGAAGCCTGGATTTGATTTACTTGCCAATTTATTCTCCTACCACTGAGATAATCAATTCCTAAATATTTTCAATAAGTTTGGAATTATTATGGAAAAAAGTTCATGTGAATGTGAAGGCGTATGCTTCTTGGGAAGCCCAGATGGAGTACACTGACTCTCAGGTGTGTGGATCACATTTCACTATCTTGCATGAATTATTGTCAAAACTTTTCTCTTAAAATTCTTACTTATATATATCTGCCCATCAGGCAATTATTTTCTGAGCCCTGGATGTGGCTTTGAAGTATCTGTGTTTTAACCTATTATATTCGGGGGGGGGGGGAAAACAGCTCTGCTTCACATGCTAGCTTTCAGTGTTTCCATAACATGATTGAGTGCAGGACAGAAGTTGGAAAAAAAAAAAGGAAATACTGTATTGACACAATGGGGTAGTCAGACATTTATTAGTGTGTTTTCATTTGTTGGTAGGGAAAGTTTTGGTATATGTGGTCTTCCAGAATAGCAAAGACACCCATGTTTCAGAATAGTTTATGAAGTCAACCATAGATCTTTTTCATAGTTTGTTGTTTTGTTTTATTTACTACATTGTTACCTTCTATTTGGTTAACTATTATAGGGGCCTGATTTGAAGAAAAAGACTTCAATCATTCATTACATGTGGTCTCATTTGTAAATTGTAGTAGTCACAAACTAAGGGCTCTTAGCCAAATCACGTATTTTGTTTGAAAGCAGGCATATTTAAGGAAATGTATTTGAGTGCCTTGAGGTGGAATATATACTCCCTGTTGTTTTTATACCCAGCTGTCTTACAAAATTATGCTATCCACCTGGCTTCTACAGGCATTTGGGTTTTCAGTTGCTTAGGCTGTAAAACCATCAGGATTTTATCATTAGTCTCTGATGCTAACTCTGCTGCATCCCAACAAGTTAAAGTTCTGAATAATTGATAAAATCTCTCCAGAAAATTATTTTTTAGGCTAGATATAGTTCAGATTGTCAGACCTTTGGGGAACCAGCAACACAGAGAAATTACACAATGTGGACCCCTATGGAACTGTAGCATCTAAACTTTTCACCTAGTATTTCTTTGGAGTATCTGAAAGTTGTGAATGTGGTACAGTGGGTACGACATAAAATGAAGAAGAGAATGGCAGAAATATGTTTAAAATCTTGTTTCCTTTTTCTCTTAAACTAATAGCCTTTTAAAATGAGTCAAATACGTATTTTAATTGATAAACTGACTTTATATTCACCTATTGGAAACAGTACAACATGTTTTACATCAGATTATGAAATATGGATGTTTTACTAAAAGACAGGAAGATCTTTTTTTTTTCCAGTCTTTAAAGTAAATACATATTCAAAGGATCTTAAGGCATACCATTTATTCATATTCATATCTATTGAAATACTGTACATCCACATACTTCAATAAATAGTTAAAAACCTGACCTTTTTTTAAATCATTTCTGGATTTCAAAATAAAACAAACAAACAATTTTTATTGAAAAGATTAAATAGGTAACTTTTGGCTGTGTCACAAAGCTAAGCACAACAGATAAATTAACAATTACTCAGTAAGTTTGATCAATATAGATAATTGGTTTTGCTAATTCAGTTTCTCAGAGTTTTCAAACTCTACACATAGGGGTATTTATATATATATATTTGTCCTGAATTATCTGGGTGATTTTCTCAGTTCTCTAGTCTACTTTCTAGATATAGTTTAAATGTTATGATGAATCATTAATTTTTCAATTAAGTTATAACCCCTCAAAAAATGGCTTTCAGTTTGAAATTGTCTCTTTCAAATCTTTTAGTGTCACAAAAAAAGCCCCCAAAATCGAAAATACAAAACTACAATTTGGGCAGTGCTTTTCATAATACAATTACTGCATAATAGGAGCTTAATGGTGTAACAGGACATATGTTTCGAATGGGAGAATGGGATCATCGTAAAACAGAATTACATCACTTGCAGTTAAACCAAGAATGCAAATGAATAAGTTAACGACCTTCTTCCAACCAGTCCTTCCTCCCTTCTCCTTCCCTCCCCTCCCTCCTTCCTTTCCTTCTTTCCTTTCTTCCTTGCTTTTTTCTCCCCTTTACCTTCTTTCTGTTTCTCTCGTTTTTATTTTACACTGTCCTCTCAACTGCTCATCATTTTTATTTCTTCCTTTCTTAAAAAAATTCAGGGGCAACAAAAGGAGTTCCACAAATGGAACTTGTGGAACATATAATGCTGAAATGAATGGCTAGAAAAAAAAATTGTTATAGATCAAAAGATAAATCAATTTTATAAAACTGCTATTCTGAAATTGTAACAATCTTGTACAGTCAGGGCTGATAAATGGAGTAATCAGACATTTCATATGTCCATAAATGTAAAATCATCTACGTGAACATTATATGCAATACATTCACACAAAAAGCAAATACTGTAGCCTTATTTGAACAATATTGAACTCATAAATACTCATGATTTCACTCCGTCCAGGGCCCTAAGGACTAGGAATGCTGCTGTGATACAGAAAAACATAGTGAATACCTCCCCTATTTAAAAATGTCACTCAAGAAAGTCTCTTCTAACATAAAGGCAAATACATATAGCTACTGAGCTATGACTGTACTTCTGTCACATTCTATGGAAAAAACACCAGACTCCACAAATTCGGAATCATAACAACACTTTGAACTAATTATTTGGTTCATCCATAGTTATACCTCAATTTACCTCACATTTACCCTACAAACCTTACAAAGAGGAGGTATTTTTTAACTCTAGGAAAGCGGTCACTGTATAATGTGCATTCTTGATCTGTTTCTTTCTCCCAAACAATGGTACTGATGGTTAACACTTCTGTGGTAGCACCACTATTTCTAGTAAGTAGATTATTATGGAGTGTACCACTTTAAAGCTGCAATACCAAAAGAACATTTTGTAGTTTACTCACCAATTCCACAAAAAATATTAAAAAAAATAATAATAATCAAAGTTAAAATGTCATACTTGTTTAAAAAGCCTGCTTTTAATATATCGGTCAAAATAATGTAATAAATTACTACAGTTAGTAAATTTAATAGTACTATGCCACATTATTGCCATTTTGTGGAAAAAGTGTTTATTTATGCCCCTTTAAGATTCATTTTTCTAATTCAAATAGATTTATGGTGTACTTTGGGTCTAAATTTTACTTGAAAAACATCACAATTTTCAAGCCATCTCTTTCAGGGCAAAATAGTAGATGTTTTAAATATGTACAAGCTCTGTAAAATTTTTTATATCTAATTTTACTATTAGGGTTTTGTTGTTTTTCTTATGACTTGTAAAACAGGACTATTTGCAGAAATCTCTCTAGGAGTAATTTATAACTTTGTCATATGTAAAATGGCTTTCAAGGCTATGATCTTTCTTCTCACAGCAACTATATATGACAGGGTAGAACTGCCCCATAGGGTTTCCTAGGCTGTACTATTTACAGAAGCAGATTGCCAGGTCTTTTCTCCCATGGAGCGGCTAGTAGGTTTGAACCACCAATCTTTCCAGTAGCAGCCGAGCACTTAACTGTTGAGCTACCAGGGCTATTTGGTCTTTCTTTAATAGAGTAAAACCATTGAATTATTCCTGTAATATAATACTTCTTAGAATAACAGTACTTCTCTTCAAAAATGTAATTTTCATTCTTTATAACAGAAATAATTTAATATATCTAATAATTTAATAATTAATATATTCTTGAGAAAGTCTTGCCACTGGCGTCTTTTCTTCATTTGACTGCATCTTACATATGTCATGTAAAAAGAAATAAAGCATGGGTTTTTTTTTTTTTTTGCTTTGTTTAAGCTGAAATGGCTATAAAGAATCATTTTATTGCAGAATTAGTTATTTCAGGGATTAATCTGCTGCATAACAGCATATAATATTTATTGAAATATAATTTGGAACATGGTTTTGTACAACATATATTCCAAACTATCAACTGAGTGATACTTTCAGAAAGAATCTATGCAAAATCCTCCTGTCCACAGGAGCACTATCTCTGTCATACTAACTTACCGGCCAGAGAACCAAATAAATTGTGAGCACTTACCAACTCATGTGATAGTAGATGATAGGATTTTGTGTCCTTTCTAACAAACCATCTTAAAGATTTTGGTTTGGAATAGTGAAAGGTAAAGGTGCTATATTGTTGGGCTATCCCTTGAATGGTCTGTGCTGTCATTTTAAAGGGAATCATTTCCCAAAGTGGATGTGACATTGAGCTACAACTAAAGAAATCATATGGTAAATTTACCTGTGCTATGTTAAGTTGTTTCTCATTACAAAAACTGAGTTATTGTGGGTCAAAATTCTCAAACACCACTGGTAATGAGGGAAGAGATTTTTACAGTCCAATAGCTTCTTCATTCTTTAGAGATAGGATATAGTTTCATTCTATTGTTGTGGTTTATTTTTGCTTCCAATTTCAGCATTTAGCAAACATTTTATATTCATTGGAGACGAGGAGAAAAATATTATTATATGAAGGCACACCCATGCTGAACTTACAGGAAAGAGAAGCAGATCTGCACAGCCAGTTATATTACAAGGCTCATTCCTGAAAACCTGAATATCATGCGAGCAGAAAAATCTAGATATGTGTTATATTTTGAAGAAATGATCTGAAGGCAAAATTATTTGCTTTTTTTATCAAAAAGGAAAAAAAATGCGTCTTTGTAAATGTGGATCGACTCTTCTTGAAACAGGGAACTGAATGCTTGTATTGCAGCCTTAAAGAATCACATATTCACTGCAATATTCGTTTTTGTAAACTACAGCCTGCAACCTAGCAGACCATGACTGAATGCTTTTGAAAAGTTGTAGATTACAAACATGAAATCACAATTAATATCCTCTAAAAGTAATTTCAGAGCTTTCACGTCTTAAAAAAAAGGACAATGTGTACTGCTTCACAAGGTAATGTAGCTAATCAAAAAAAGAGTAGAATTAAAGTATTTACATAATGAGCAATTCTACAGAAGGCGATCATCCCCATGTAAGCACTGCTGATTATATCCCACGCTGCTTTTAACAAACTGTACCAGATTGGATCCAGCCATCAGCACTTTCAGAGAATCCTTAAAAGCCTTTTATGGGTCTTTAAATTTATTGTAGAATGGCATTCTTCAGGTAGAATATGCTGGTGAAAGAGGACAGTGTCAACACAAGGTACCAGCAGGAGAAAAGAACGTCAGCGCTCCCGGTAATTCCATACTGGGCTGTACTTGGAGCTGAAAAGAAATGGAAAAGATTAAATCAAAATCTAATTTGTGTATTTTAGCATCTTGACAATAATTAAAAGGCAGCTGGGTGTATTGGGAAGAGCACTGGCTTTAGCGTCAGGCAGACTTAGATTCACATCTGGTTCTGCTGTGTGACGTGTAGCCTGGTTGACTAACGTCACTGAGGTTCAGTTTTCTCAAGGGCAAAGTGGAAATAATATAATCCACCTGGCAGGGCTGTGGTGAGAGTTGGAGATGAAGACTGTGCAGCACATTTCCCTGGGCCAGACACATGCTAAGGACTCAATAAACAGCAGCTAACATTATATTCATTTTACATGCATTATACATATACATATTTGTATTAGTTGATGATATTCACTCATGCATGTATTTGTAGATAATTTTTACAAATACTTTTAGTCAGATACTGCACTAAATCCTAGGAAAGGAAAGAAGAGGTTCTCTCCTCCCAGGTGTTTTTGGGTAGGGGGAAGATGTTCAAGTACAATATAATGTTAGGAATATTAGAGTTGCATATGCAAACTGCAGTGACACAGCAAATTGTGTATTTAAATCTGCCTGGGCAAGGAAGGAGTGGTTTAACAGTGTTTTACCGAACGGGGTGGTCATTTGGATAGGGCAAATAACACATTTAAAGGCATGCGGAAAGGAGAGAGCTGGGTCTTGCTGGACCATGAAGTTTGAGGCCTGGTGGGGAGGGAATTGAAAGTGGAGCTCCAGCCAGGTAGAATGACCTCAACTGTAATGAAAAAAAAGAGTTTTGCTTTCTATACTGAAGGAGATTTTGAAGCATTTGGATCAGTGGAATTATATGATTCCATTTATACATTAGAAAGAACACAGTTTTATACATGGAGAAGCTCATGTCATACTTGGCTAACTGTCATGTTGAATTTTCACTGAATATCTACAGAGTTACCAAGATCAGAATATTGTTGGAGTCTGCTGAATGGGTAACACTTCCTTTCACTAGAAGGTAGTGGCTTCATTGAATGTGAATTATACTGTGTTCTGGAAATTGTATGTCATAGGCATGCTTAGCGTTGCTCAAGATTGATTCTCTTTTATAATAATAATAATAAAAAAAAAAACCACAGACAGATGTTTAACTATCTTTTCTTAATAAAACGTGGATTTCAAGAACTGTTTCCTAGTAGAAAATGAATAATGTAATAAAGAAATGTAGTATTCCCCCCACCCCCCAAATCCATAACCCAAAGCCGGGAGTCATTTTCGTTGCACTGAGTTTGAATTACCAGCAGTTAGTTTTTAATGGAACTTTCACAGATGAATGTATTTCCATGTAACAAGCAGAATACGTTTTGTTGTTTACACCTCTGATAAATTAAAGGGATGAAGAATGCATTGGCCCAGCCAGTGGGAAGTTTCCTTGACATTACAAGTGCAATTGTTGATTCCAGGTGAGTGGGATTCAAGTTCTGGGCTACTAATCTTTAGTAAACAGAGAGCAAAATCAACTACTTTTTGCATCCCAAATGAGTTTTAAAAAATGTAAAACAACGATGAAGAAAGTAAGTCTGATATAAAAGAATTCTAATTTAAGATCAGGAAACTTTATTTTGTCTTGTTCAAGACCTGGAAATGTATTTTATTTTTAAAAATATAAATAAATTTTTGATTGGTGTTTGAGCTTCTCAATGACTCCTGTTTTAGAATTGTTACTGTTTCTTAAGAATCTTAAGTGTAATAAAACCAATGTAATATTAAAGGATTGCTCATAAGAAAAGCAGATAAAATTATTTTATACATAAAAAATAGATTTTAAAATCTAAGCATACAATGGAAAGGTAAATTATTTTTATTATCCTGACAAATTAAATAGTACATTAAGTGCACTGAGTATTGAGGACCCTGAAAACTCCTTATTCTCCCTTTAAAATCCATTTTTGGGGGCATTCTTTCCTAAATCCCCTTCCCTTCTCCAACAGACTGCGTTAATTACCCCTTTTGTGTTATTAGGTACCATATACATTCCTCTATTACACAATTATCAAACTGCATTGCAAACATTTTTTTACATATCTATTTCCCCCACCAGTAAACTCTCCTAGATCATGTCTCATTTATCTTAGTGTTTCCAGAATCTAGCAAAGTCTAGTACATAGTAGATACTCAAGAAATATCTGTTGAATAAATAATTCCATTAAATAAATAAATAGTTCGGAATTAAAATGAGTATTTCTATCCTACAAAATAGTCTCTTCTGAACCAAGCCACTTGCCTAAACACTAAAAATCTACTAATATTCCTTCATTCATTCTGCAAATACTTACTGAACTAGGTACCAAACACTGGGAATATATATGCTGGGAACACAATTGCTAATAAGATAGGTATGGTCCTTCAGTTACTTAATTCTATATGTTACCATATATACTCCTTTGTGTCATCTACCTTCAATGCCATCTTTTTCCCAAATGTGCCCTTCTCTTCTTCCATTCAGCCTTCTATAATCTTAAATGTGAACAAGGTATGTCAGTTATATATATACACGTTAAATATTACTTTACAATTAAACAGCACACTTTTTGTTTTACTGATGCCTCAAATTTCTGTGCTTTTTAGTCTTTGTGAGTGTTATACTTCTATTAGTCCTTAAATACCCAGGCACTGGCTGCCTCATTGTTAGCCTTCAATTATTATAGACAATGGACCGCAGAAGCACTACTGACAATCAATAGACCAGAAACAAAGGGTAAAGTTAGTCAAGGAAACGGGGTCAGATACCTAATGTCAAGTTATAGTTCATCATTCAGACTCCATATTGAGCATCTTTTATCAGCCAGGGACTGAACTAAGCATCACACAGACAAAGATGAATAAAACCCAACCCCTCTCTTAGGAATGTTTCATTATAGTTGGGGATACAAATAAACAGTCAAATACAGAACATTAGGATATATGCAGCAATAAGCATAAGTGTTCCATGCACAAACATCGGAGGGCTTCCTAAGGATTCATGGGCCAGGGTTTGTCCAGAAGACCGAGTGTGAAGCCAGGCAGGTAAGCAATCCAGGAAACAGATTGAAATACAATTATTATTATTTTACAAAAAAATAGACACGTCAGTACATTTATGTCTCTTTTATAAAAATGGTTGCAAAGTAGTCCTCTATTGGGTATGCCATCATTTTTTAGAACCTTATTCCCATTGATTGACATTTATTACGTGTTGTGTGTGTGTGTGTGTGTGTGTGTGTGTGTGTGTGTGCATGCACACGTGTGACTGGTTAACTAAGTTGATTTAGAGCACAGGGCTTATGGGGCTTATGGTTGTAAAGTTAGGGGGTCTGAGTACTATTTGTGTAAATTAGATTCGCCTGGCAAATTAAATCCCAACAAGCTATTTGATGTTAAGAAATTATAGAAAATAACTTATAGCAGTTATCAGTAATTAGCTTCATGACTCATCCAAGTATCATCTCCATTAAAAAGAAAAAAAAGTCTTGATAAAATTCCCTATGCCACAATAAGCACTCCTCACATTACTTAGTAACTGATACCATCAGGTTTATATACCTATCTCACCTGACTAGACGAAGAATGTTTCAAAGCAAAGGTTTATTATATGTATCTTTTAGAATTGGTACTAAACACAGAGTCTGGTACTTAGTAGATGCTCAATAAATATTTGTTTAATGATTAGATGGTCACATCCATTTCCCACACTGTCACTGCAAGCACATGAGGAGACATAATACCTTGACTTATTTTCCCAGAAGAATATTGTCTTTCCTTACTCATATTTTTCTGAGTCTTTCTTCTTTCCTTAATTTTAGACTCATTATTATCATTTTATGACAGAGTTAGACTACCTCCCTTCAACACTTTGAGCAAGGAGAGAGATCTACCTGAGATCATTAGGTAGACTACATAGGGGAAGACCATGCATAGAGCTTTGTGATATCATCCTCTCGCTGCAAAAGACAGTGAGCATAGATGAACCTATAGCCCAAAGTATAGTTCTGAATGTCTTAGCAGTCACCCAGCTGTGCCTCTGGGGTGATCAGATGTATTGTAGCTTTTCTGTCATGATTATAGTTGTCTGTGAATATCATACTGCTGTTTTTCCCAAGTAAATTTAGGTGGATGAGACCTGTATCAGAGAGGTAGTTGGGCTATAGTGAGGGCTTTGAGTTCATTTTCAGTCCAAAGTGACACCATACCCATTGCTGTTGAGTTGATTCTGACTCATGGTGACCCTATAGGACAGAGTAGAACTGCCCAATAGGGTTTCCAAGGAGTGGCTGGTGGACTCGAACTGCCAATCTTTTGATTAGCAATCGAGCTCTTGACAACTTTTTTTTAGCATAGGGGGGCTAGCTGACATTTTAAAAAGATCACTTGGCTGTGATGTGGACAGTAGATTGTTGGGGAGGCAAGAGTAGAAGCATATGTTAGCCGAAACCATCACGGGTTCCCAGTTGCCTACTGAGTAAAGGCAAAGGGCTTTTGCTCAGCATTCAGAGCCCTTCATTCTAGTCAGTTTACCCAGACTCATACACACTCTTAGCCTCAGTGATACAAATTGTTTTTTGAACACATGGGATGCTTTCATTACTCCATGCCATTTACACGTGCTGTATCATTAAGCCTAGATGGTTTTTCTTCCTAGTCCCCTCTCCACCTAACAAAGTCCTACTCATTCTTGAAGATCTAAAACACCACCTCTTCCATGAGACCCTCTGCAATCTTTCTGATAAGAATCATCAGTCTTCTGCTTATACCTGATTTCCTAAACAGTACCTTTTAAACTGACAATCAATTTCATCTACATTTTCTTCTCCCCTGGACTATAAGTACCTTAAAGTTATGGAGCTCCCCCCTTACAGTGTGTGCATCTGTATCTCATACGGGAGGTGTGCAGTAGATGCTTGTTGAATTGCATGTGAGAAAATATTCCTAAATATGTATCTGTCTAATTCAAAACCTTGTCTTGGCTAAGATGTATCATTTCAGTAATT